TAAAGTTAAAGATAGTATTTCTAATATAGGTGTGTTACTTACTTATTATTATTACCTACTTATTAACTATATTATTAGTTAATTTATCTTAAATATATATTTTATAAATAAAACTTTTAATAAAATATAATAATTTAAAAAAGAGAAGAATTAAATAAAAAAGCTTAAAATAATATTATTTTTTATAATTTTATATATAAACTAATAAAATTTAGATTCTTTTTTTAATATACTTACTAAATTATTTTTATTAATTTCTATTTTTCTTTATTATCTTAATATAATTTAAGCTTTTTTTAAATTATAAATATAAAGAAGCTTATATAATAATGAAAAGATATATAGATATCTTATATATCTTATATATCTACTATTTACTAATATTTTTTCTACTACTTTTACCTTACTCTAGGTTAGATGATCTCTAGTTAAGGTATAGATGAGCTGTACCCCCGTGCAGCTAAAGTCGACCCCTGCCGTTAGTTTCAGACCGACGTCCGGAGATTATAGCGGGAGCCTAGAGATTGCGGCTTGCAGCCGACTTCACGGTCCTTTGTGCTTTTGCCTAACTACAGGAAAGCCAACATAGATTTGGAGCATTCCTCTTTAGCAGTCTCTGTGACACAACTCTCCTCAGAGCAAGCTATTTCCGTCTGCTGTCACCAGTCTACTTGAATGTTCCTTCAACGCTAGCTGCTTGAAATGATTGGTATTCGCTTCTTGTGTTTTTACTTACTTGTTTACTTATTTACTCTCCACTTTAGTCGTACATACAAAACCGGCGGCTTCCCTTCTCCCGGAAACCGCTGCGTCGTTTCCACAAATGGAAACGCGCTGAGCAAAAGACCGAGCTTCTCGAATCCAAAACTCCGCGGGTCAAAGTCGGGCTGCCACTGTGTAATGAGCATTCCCAGACGGGCGACATTGGCCCACCCGTCGTCGTCGGACACGGCCTTTTTGATAAAGGGCGGGTCAGGGGCCGACTGCTTCGCGGTGGGCTGCTCCCTGCTGCGCGAGTGGGGACCCGGCGGCGAGGCGGTGTAGTCGGCATCGAGCGACGACAGGTTGTCAATGTAGATGAACTTGTCGCAGGCCGTGACGAGCGGCTTGGGCGCCTTGCGCTCGCCAAAGCCGTACACGACCAGGCCGGACTCGCGGATGCGGGACGCGAGGCGGGTAAAGTCGCTGTCGCTCGAGACGAGGCAGAAGCCGTCAAAGCGCTGCGTGTAGAGCAGGTCCATGGCGTCAATGACCATGGCCGCGTCGGTCGAGTTCTTGCCCTGCGTGTAGGAGAATTGCTGCACGGACTGGATCGAGTTTTCTAGAAGCCGCTCCTTCCAGCCCTTGAGGGAGTTGCCCGTCCAGTCGCCGTACGCGCGCTTCACAAAGGGGGTGCCGTACTTGGCAATCTCGGCGAGCAGCGCGCTGGCCATGCTTGGCTGCGCATTGTCGGCGTCGATGAGGACGGCGAGCTTGGCCAATTTCTCGCTGGCTGAGATGTGGTCCCCCGTGATTGGGCTCATGACCCAGCTGCTAGCCAGTTGAACGTGGGCGTTTTAGGGCAGAGTGATGTTGTGGTGGTGATTTATGGATTATGTTTGTATTTGCATGGTCTGTTTGCGTCCAATATAATTCACGATCGCGGGGGGGAGGCCTGAAAGCGGCCCCACCTATATTGACACTGCAGTGCCAGCAGAAACTCATTGGTGATGGTCAAACGATCGGACATGTACATGATTTAAGCTTGATATTTCGAACAAAGTTATTGAGGCATAGATCAATCGGATGGCAGAGACATCTGGGCGGATTTTCAGAGCCGCGTATAGTACCACGCTGTTCAAGACTAGACATCCACACCTCGACCTAATGGCGTCAAACTTTAGTTTAACTAGCTAGTCAATGTGTTTAGCTCTAGACGAATGGAGATCAAGTGAGCAATAAAAGCTTGAAAAGAGCGTCCAACTTTGACGATAACTGTCAATGCCGCATCATCTTGTCAAACAGCCTGCCGTTCAGTTCGGTAACCATGGTAATCCACGTTTAGTCAATCCATCAGGGTGAACTGAGACAACCCCGCAGATTGACGGAGTGGATTAGAGTGACGTAGATCGTGAAGCTTACTTGGAAGCTCGGCCAGGGGCGCCAGCTCTCTCTCCTCAATCTCGCCGCATCGCTACCATAGATTCAGCCATCCCACGCTCTGATTCCGAGGCTTCATTCATCTCATTTGAATTGACCCAGCTCGAGCTGCATCACCCATCAAAAGCGTCACCAGCTACTCATCACGCGCCCGCTATGCCAGGCAAGTAGTGCTCAGACACGACGTGGGTCGTGTGACCCCTAACAACAAGCAGATACGGCAAGATACCCCGGCACCCTAGCCCTCGATTCTTCCAAAGCAAGCTTTGCGTTCAAATATACCTCCGTTTTTGCGAGCGACACCAATTGGATCGGCATCTACTATGCCTACGGGGGCGGGCCCGACCACGGCGAGTATGTGCAGGATTCGCTGACCTGGGCCTGGGCGCCTGCAAAGGGCGGAACCGTCTCAGTGTCGCCCGACAAGCTGCGAAGCGGTACATACAAGGCGTATCTGCTGGCCGAGGGCGGGTACAAGCTGCTCGCGAAGCCAATCATCGTCAACCTGGGCAGTCGTAGCGATCTGGCCCTCTTTACCGACTCATTCACCACGCACAATGCCCGTCAGGGAGAGGCATTCACGGCCAATGTGGGCAACCTGGTCAACCGAGCTGGTGATCCGCGCACGCACTTTTCTGCAGAGGAGCTTGAAAGTTGGGCCGAGGTGGATGAGCAGGGCATCATCTCTGGAGTTCCGCCGGCCGATGCCAGTGACACGACGCTCCATGTGCGAATCCAAAACGATGGAACGATAGTGAGGCTGAGAGTCTTGATACCGGTCCGAAAACACAACGAGCCGTTGGTTGAACAGCTGCGCGTTTTGAGCTTTAACCTCTGGGTGGGCGGCCAGCCGGTGAACAACCATCACGAAAAGCAGATTCGTTTCCTTGCGCGGGAAAACATTGACATTGTGGGAATGCAGGAAAGCGGCGGGGGACACGGAATCCGACTCGCTCGCGCACTTGGCTGGCACTCTTGGCAAGGCCCGGATGTGGCCATTGTCACTCGCTACCCCATCGCCGAGGTTCTCGAAGCTCCCGCCAAGTCTGGCGCCGTCCGCATCAGCCTCGACGGGACCAAGAGCGACATTGTATTCTGGAACTGTCATCTAGGCTACGATCCGTACGGGCCGTACGACTTTTGCTTTGACCACATGAGCTTCGACAAGGTCATGCAGCGCGAGGCGCAATCAGGCCGAACGCCGGAAATCACTGCCATCATGGAGAGCATAAAGGGCGACGTTGCCAACGCCGACAACGTGCCTCTCTTCTTCACGGGCGACTTTAACGCGCCCTCTCACCTCGACTGGATCGACGCCACAAAGGACCAGCACTGCGGCGTGGGCTACACGGAGTGGCCAACGTCCAAGCGTCCTGCCGATGCTGGGCTGGTCGACTCGTACAGAGTTGCGCACCCGGATCCCGTGTCTCAGCCGGGCATCACGTGGTCCCCCATCTACCTCGAGAATAATGGCAGAAAAGAGCCCATGGACCGCATCGACTTTGTGTACCACAAGGGGAAAAAGCTGGTCGTAAAGAGTTCAAAGGCACTGGTTGTCGGGAAGCCAACTGCTCAGCCCAACCATGCTGATAATGAGTGGACGTCGGATCATAAAGCTGTGCTGACGGTTTATAAGATCATGGCATAGATTCGGCTTACAAGGAAAAATGTTGATGCACGAATGGTGACTGTGCATCTACAGTCGTCATGCGGCGGCTCCGCTTCTCGTCTGGGAGTAAAATGCAGTCATCTACAACAACAGAGCAGGAACATATAGAAACTTACATCTATCTATTCGTATTCGTCTTTAAGTGAGCCATCAGTCCAAATGGCGATTATCATCCAGGCCTCGCTGTGCAAGTGGCCTTGCAACGAGCAGCTAAAATTTGGGCCAACAGTGCTATACTTTAACAGGCCAAAACCACGACAGTTCTCAATTATTACGAGGGGCAGCTGCCACAGTCTGTTGCGAGGCCACACTAAGGTGATCAAACGACCTCTGGACATGAAATCGACATTGAACACTCGAATTATATGTATTTCGAGTCTCGCGAGAGACACGACACCGTGAAGAAGACGCGACCGGTGCCGAGGATGCCAAGTCCTTCCGCAGAGCGCGATGCCAGGTCTTACTGTCACCACAAAACGAAAACCAAAATATACAACGCTGAATCAGTTAGTCAGGCACATTAATGCAAACTAATTTGAAAGGCTTGGTTGACGAAAAGTGTTACAGCAACCAAGTTGCCTCGCATAATTCTGCTGACGGCTTATTTTCAAAGGAGTAAATTTCAACAAGGCTCATAAAGTAAAGTTTCTTTGCACATGTATTTTACATTCTCATGCCCGCCAAGCCCCATATTTCGGGTCTCGTCTCTGCGGCATTGCTGGCTGGTTTCCGTTCAACGCATCCAAAAAGGATCCATAACCTGCTCAATAATTGCCGGATCAAACAATTGCCACGAATAGTCCAAGCCTTGGCCCATGTCTAGTGGAACTTGGGTCGCCGTAGAAGGACTCGGTGTACGAAGAGAATCCAGCTGCTGCTCAAGTCGTGCGGCCAGCTTTTCGCGCAAGCAGGGCTTCGGCTCGTTTGTATCGCGCAATAACTCCATGTGTATGCGTATGTTTTGAAAATCTATCACAAGTCAGCTTCGATGAAACGGTTTCGCGCAACGAAATTCACCAGTACCATCCTGCTCTCCTGCACCGGCTTCCACGCCTTGCAAAACGATGAGGGCTGCCCAGGTAATCATGACTAGATCCCAGTTGGACCATATTGACTTGTCGTTGAGGTGAAGCTTCAGCGTCGCCCTGGCAGAGACTAGCAGCTCGTGCTGTTCATGCAACGTGATGCTATTCGACTGCAGGTTACAGCCACGAGCTGGGTGGTAGATGGAGAGCACCACGAGGCGGTGCAGCGCGTGTTGGCGAAAGACGGGCGTACGCTGCTCATCAGTGATATTCCCAGTCTTGGCAAACTCGACGAGCCAGTCGTCCAGATTTCGCGCCCAGTCTCTGATGACTGCGGCATCAATCGGCGTAAAGGGGATGCACGGGGGTGCGCTCGTGCTGGTGTTGCGCGTGATGCACGACCAGATGGTGGGCAGGCCGCGGCCGCAGAACCGCGACAGACCCGTGTGCATCATCCGCGACAGCCGATAGAGAGGATCGTGGTGCGGAATCTGCAGCGCCGCAAAGGGCGGTTCGATAGGCACCACGGGACACGTCAGATGCAACGATGCGTGCTCCAAGTCGACAATCTGCACGCCCTTGAGAATCTTGGGCCAGTCAAAGACGTCTTCGTCAATCTGCGACGGGCAGTGCTCGAGGATCAAGTTGTAGGCGGTGGATATCCAGAGCCCGGTTTCGCGCACTTTGGCTTCGTTGAGCAGGCTCGCGAGCACCAGGCCGAGCACGGAGTGAAAGGCAATGGTCTCGGAAGTGGCAGGATTGCCAAACGGGATGGCGAGCTCGCTGCCTGGTATGCTCAGTTGCGAAATGGCGCAACTCAGCACTTTAAAGTAGCCTGGCGCGAGCGCTGCATGCTCAGCAGATCCTCGGATGCTCGAGCAGTAGAGCATGGATGCCAGCAGCAGGGGTTGCGGTGCTGAAAAGATTTGCTTGTCGGGCAGGAAATGAAGCCCAGGCATCTTGTCATGAAATCTATAACCTCATCAGCGACTAATCTTTGCCCCGCCCGGGGAACGAAAAGCCCTCGTACGTCTGCCACAGGTACCGTATGATATTCTGATTCCAAAGCACCGCGTCGCGAGGCCCAGTCGTGCACCGCTCGAGACTCGCCACCGCATCCCACAGTCGCTGGAGCTGGCCCTCGCCCGAGCTGTCCGGCTGGACGGGCGCATCCTGACTCGTCGGCGTGGCCAGCAGTGGTTTCGCGCTGAGCTCGTCGGCCCTCTCCGCGCCAGCAAGCCCGAGGTGGTCCTCAATCACCTTGACGCGCCGTAAAATATCGCGCGTCACGTCGTACGAGGCCATCTCGGCCAGCGGCATCGAGGCCGGCACCATGACCGCAGAGGCATTCGCCCTGGGCACAAAGATGCAGGGAAGCCCGGCGCGCTCACAGCGGCGGCACGTGCTGCCCGAGTCGATCCTGCACTTCATCTTTTGCCTGCGACAGTTGACTAGACGGGGTATCAGCACACCTGGGAATCCCGTCCGTATATTGTCCCGCGCCTGACTAGGTACCAAACACCGGGGTGCTCACTGCAGGCTTTGCGTGCCTTGGGCTCTCCTGCTTCGTCTTCCATTTTAGCGGCGCGGCGCCCAGGTGGGCTGCTCTCTCGGCGTCATGCAAATGAGTGAGAGGGCTGCGCTGAGCTCAAGACTAGAACGTGATGCAGATATACGTTCAAGAAGCTATATCGTGCTTGACGTACTGTGCGCCGACCGTCTATGCTGACTTGATTGATGGCAATAGCAAGGCCTGAGATGATGTGTTTCTGCGGAGTTGGGGATTGAGGGCGGCGAGACTCCACCACCACCAAGAGTTCACACCACACTGTGCCACGCTTACTACGGAGCTGAGGGCGGATGGGTTGTGCGGCACGCGCGATAGGTGCTAAAAGCAAGATTCAGTGTCCAAAACATTCGGAAATGCTTTGCTTCATGGGCAGATGGTCAGTTCTTTGAGGATAAGGCGGACGATGTAAAACCCCCATAAATAGCCAGAGAGAATCAACGGGGCCAGTGGACACTGTACCCGGCAATTCTCGGTGATTCCGGCGTTGCTCTACTTCTACAGGTTACTTCTGCTGCCATTGCCGTATGGCGTTTTCTAGAGCGGAACGTAAGACTTACGCGGGGATGGGCGCCTATACAGTACATAGAAGGTAGCTTCGATAAAACGAGACACTCTTAATTTCCTATCTAAAAGAGCCGAATTATAGGAAAGAAAGTAAAGTAATACAAATAAAATATAGGTAATAATCTATTATTAGATAAATTTTTCTATATTTAGTCCTAACGTGGTTAAT